CCACCACCGCGGCAAGTCTATCCTCGACCTGGCCGGCCGCAGTCTATCGTGCGGGCTCTCCGACCCCAAGTCGGCGGCGGGGCGCGAACCCGAAGCGACGGCCTCCGCCTCCGCCTCGCGCGCGCACCTCAGCGGTTCACACTCTCTTTTCCCGGTCAAGTCCGAGAGGCTGGCTTCCTCCACCAGCTCCGACTCTGACGCTTTGCCTCTGCTCGTCGAGGCGGCCACCTCCGGTGAACGCAATGGCATTGGCGGCATGGCTGGGAGCTACTCCGGGGAGCTCGGGCTATTCTCTAACAGGAGCAGCGAGATGGATTCTGACCTCTTGTCCCAGGCGCGGTCTGGGACACGGGGCTCTCTGCGAAGCCGCAGCCGGCACCGGAGCCTGACACAGAAGTTCGCACCGAGGACGTTCAAGGACGTCGTCGGGCAGAGCTTGGTGGTGCAGGCGCTATCCAACGCCGTCCTAAGGAGGAAGGTCGGGTTGGTATACGTCTTCTATGGGCCGCACGGCACAGGGAAGACATCATGCGCGCGCGTCTTCGCCAAGGCGCTCAACTGCCACTCTGCCGAGCACCCGCGGCCCTGTGACTCGTGCATTTCGTGCATCGCGCACAATGTTGGCAAAAGCAGGGATGTGATGGAGATTGGGCCCGTAGGCAACATCGACATGGATGGAATTGTGGATGTTCTTGACAATGTCATGCTTTCACCGGCACCATCACACTATAGGGTATTCATATTTGATGACTGCGACACATTGCCAGCAGACACTTGGAGCATCATCTCCAAAGTCATTGACCGGGCACCCCGCCGTGTGGTGTTTATCCTTGTTGGTCCCAACCTGGACCTCCCTCATATCATCCTGTCGAGATGTCAGAAGTTTTTTTTCCCCAAGTTGAAGGAGTGTGACATCGTCAACACATTGCAGTGGATTTCCACCAGTGAAACTCTAGATGCGGATAGGGATGCATTGAGGTTAATTGCATCCCGTTCAGATGGATCGTTGAGAGATGCTGAGATGACTCTTGATCAGCTGAGTTTGTTGGGGCAAAGGATTTCTCTGTCTCTTGTCCAAGAACTCGTAAGATATTTTGCAAGCATCAGTATTACCATCAACCTTTTTATCTTTGAAAAGATATTTCGCAAGCATGATCGTGCCATCAACATTTATGTTTTGAAAAACAAACCATATCATGTAGATTCAATACCTGGTTTCCTTCTGGTTTGAATAGAAGGTGTCATCAGCTAATAATTTAGTTGGGGTTTTGTTTGGACCTGTAATTTGTCAAGAAGTGAATTAGACATAGTATAGCAACTTCAGATGACACATATGATCGAAATATCACATGGTTGGAATAATCGGCACAGGCACTGAATGGTCTCTTTGGTATAAATTTGGTAATTGAAATATCACATAGTTGGAATACAGCTAAGGAACTCACTGACTTAAGCCCCTGTCAGGATTTTAATGCTCCTTGGTTGCAATTCTTGTTTTGACAACAATATATCTTAGCTGCTTGTTCATGTCACAGGTTGGTTTGGTATCCGATGATAAGCTGGTTGATTTACTTGATTTGGCACTATCTGCTGACACTGTGAACACAGTGAAGACATTACGAGACATTACAGAAACTGGAGTTGAGCCTTTGGCACTGATGTCTCAACTTGCCACGATAATTACTGACATCCTGGCTGGTTCCTACATATTTGCAAGAGAAAGACCACGAAGAAAGTTCTTCAAACGTCCAACCTGTAAGCATCAACTCAGAACAATCTGACACTATTTTCCTATCCTGGCTATCTCTGCTAAGACTATTAAGTCAATCGTCTGGTTGTCTGGTTGACATGTTATTCTTCCATGTTGCCTTACGGTTAATATTTTGCAACCACATAATGTAGTGTTCTGGTATTGCTAATTTCAGTGTCAAAAAATGATATGGAGAAACTACGGCAGGCTTTGAAAACACTATCAGAAGCTGAAAAGCAGTTGAGAGTCTCCAATGACAAGGCAACATGGCTGGCGGCTGCTCTGCTTCAGCTTGCTCCTGATAAGCAGTATATGGTGCCAAGTTCATCAACAAGTACGAGTTTCAACCACGGTGTATTGGACGGTTCCCTTCCTGGAAAGGATGTAGCAAGGCACTCAGCTATTGAGCATAATGGTAACATGGCAAGCACTTCTTACGGGGAAAGGAGAACCATTAAACATACATCAAATCACCATGGTTCGTCCACTGTAACCAAAGTGAACGAGCAATCCAAACATAGCAAAACTGAAAATGAAATGATCTGGCAAGCAGTGCTTGAGAGTATTCAGTCAGATACACTACGAAAAATGATGGCCAAAGAAGGAAAGCTAAGATCTGTCAGCCTAGGAACCGGTAAGCTTCAAAGTCTAACATCCATTTCAATTTTCAAATGACTAGTTTTTTTCCTTTTGGCCTAGAAGATGAAATATATAGCTTCAGTACTCACAAAAACAGAGATGGCAAACTCCTGTAGTTAATGATTCAGTTTCCAGTCAACTGGTTGTCTGCGTTTGGCTGCTCGGTATTTTTGGAGTTTTCGAAGAATACCATGGTTTTTTTAGAAACCTCGGTTTTAAATACTTTGACGTGTTTGGCTTCAACAAATACTACAGTTTTATAAACCATAGTATATCTAAAACCATGGTCTTTTTTCTGTATTTGAAAAAGAGGTCCCAGCCTCTTTTTTCTAAACTGAGAAACGCTCGCTCTCGAGTCCATCTTCCTGGCTGTTGATCTCTTCAATCGTTGACTATTGTGCTAGCGCAACAAGAGGCGGCTTGTAGATTAGCTCGTGCTAGATGTTAGATCCTACTGGATGGCGCACGTACACGCACGAATGCCATGATTTAGCATCGACTGAGAGCACGACCGCATGCGCATAGGTTTAGATTGTGGAGTACATCAATTGAGACTTGAAGCACAGTTGTACAGAGCAGGCTAAGCTTGGTAGCCGATCGATTCCATCCGGCCCATGCGGCCAGAGGTACAAGATAAATCTACTTCAGATCCTAGTGTCTAGGAGAGAAGACGTCCGCGTGCATGACAAGGCTACATGCAAGTGGCGGCTGTTAATTAACACAAGCTGATCATGTCGTTGTACAACTACTTGAGTGTAGCTCAGTTCGGTTCAGCTAGCTATCTTCAGGATTATCCATGCAATGAGTAGTCAAACCCAGAAAACTGAGAAAAACTGCACTTGGCAAACACGTTTGTAGTTTTGCTAAAACTGAGAAAAACTGTGGTTTTTAAAAACCAGAGTATTCATTGCCCACACATTGAAATACTGAGGGTTTTCATTTACTCTGGTTTTAGAAAAACTGTGTTGCCAAACTAATCAAATGAACTATGATTGGTCAATGGTTCAGCGCTGCCATGCCTCCAACTTGTAGTCATGCTATGTTGAATTACTATCTCCTTGGAAATATGTTACTTCCTCCGATCCAAAATAAGTGTCGCAGCTTTGAACTAAGGTTAATTCAACTTTAGTTCAAAGCTGTGACACTTATTATGGATCGGAGGGAGTAATTGTTAGCTTGTTGTTCTACCAAATTGTTTTCTAACACCAGCTTCTTTTCTTCCTACAGGACCGACAGTGCAAGTGATATTCAGCTCACGTGTAAATATGTCCAACGCTGAAAACTTCAGGGGACAAATTATGCAGGCGTTTGAGTCTGTTCTTCATTCTGCTATAATACTTCAAATCCGATATGAATCAAAACATGATGCGGGAGCAGGTCATGATGAGAATGACACTGACATGATATCAAGGAGATCCTTCAGTAAACATAGTAGCCCGGTTTCTTCTGGAGGTGAAACCCTCGTCAGGAGGCTTAAAAAAGACAGGGTTGTCAAGGGAGCTAGTTCTACTAAGACCAAGTGGATGCAATCTGATCCCCACATATTAACAGAAGGCGAGATCATTGAAGTTGGACCTTCTCACATGCACCGGTATCCTGAAACAGATAATGGTGTTCGTAATATGAATGAAAGAAGAAATGATAATGCATGGGAAGAGGCTTTGTCATCACCAAACCAAGAGGGTGTGATGAAACAAGGAGGAAAAAATGGGAATAAACAGCGTCGACAGAACAGCATAGTAAAACGAAAGCTCTCACTTGCTCATGTTCTCAGTAAGGCGGAGGTTTGTTCCCAACGAGGAGGCTGGTCTAGACGAAAAGCTATGTCAATTGCAGAAAAACTGGAACAAGAGAATTTGTAAGTAACATCATCTTACATCCTGTTCAAACAGCCTAAAATATAGGAGTAATACTTCAGCATCTGCATCTAAGAAATTAATACATGTCACTAAAACTTTACTTTGTGTATCGTAAAAATACAATAAAACAAAACAAATGATAAATGTATTTTTTTAAAGATGCTTGAAGCTTTTGCATCTTCCCTAAAGATACATTCTTCAAATTATAAATGGTGATATCACACACCAATAGTTAGTATTAATCGTCCGTCATGCATGGTGAGCAATCAATACTCTATACCAGCATGTATCATGAGAGCATTAAGAAATCATTTTTGTAACAACATAAATCGCCGCTTAAATATTCTATGTTTGAATTGATTTTGCCAATTATAGCTTTGTGATTTGTACTGCTCAGAGAACGATGTTTGATCGTGATAATTTTTATGCACAGGAGATTAGAGCCTAGATCAAGAAATATACTTTGTTGGAGAACGTCAAAGACTCGCCGGAAGGTAATATTCATGTTTGAGCTATGTTGAAACTGTGTGCCACTAAAATAAGTGCCAGTGGGTCCTTTTTTTGCACCACTGAATACAATTGGAATGTTAACTTATATCAGTTTCCAAATTTAACAAATCATATGCGTATTGGTGAGGAGTTGCCTGCGTTTGTGGAACTACACAAACAAGCCATGATTGTATAGCTTGAAACATTTAGGCTGGGGCGCTGGGCCCCTTTTGAGCCAACACTGCCTAGCTGGATCTGATGCTCTCCTTTGGTCATACTCCCTCCGTCCCACAATATAAGATGTTATGGGACGGAGGGAGTACCTTTTATTACTTCCGTCCCGAATTAGTTGTCTTAGATTTGTCTAGATATGGATGTATCTAACACGTGTTAGATACACCTTTATCTTTGTGTTAGATACATTTGTGTCTTGACAGATCTAAGACAACTAATTTGGGATGGAGGGAGTAGAATAGAGGCCTTTTTCTTAAGATGAATATGACAATTTCTATGAGGAAACCAAAAGTATTTGAAAAAGGAAACGGTAACATTAACGCAGTGCCAAAAAGAGGAACTACCTTGTTAGGTTGATTTTTCCTGATACATTCTTGACAAATTTTGAATAGTTTGGAACGGCTGTAGATTTTTAAGTGAATTAGCAACTGTGTAGTGATATGGTATTTGAACACAGCACAGCTATGGTGTTTGCGCACTGGTAATGTGCATGAAAAATTAGCTCCGGAGTTTTTGAACCCTGCTTAAATTACAGTTTTTGTTCTTATGTTTATCATATATATGTTTCTGTCAATGCTAATCCAATCATTTTTCCACAGCTCTCGTCGTTTAGGGTCAGGACTGGAAGTGGAAGGTCACGAGCTATATCGCGGCTTATCCTGTGTGGAAGATGCATTTCCACAAAATCCCCAAGATAAAAGAACACTAGAAGTGGTAGTTTTACAAGCGTTCAATTTAGCATCCATAATTTATTCACCCTGTACCTTGTAGACTGTAGCTGTGTCAATTTTTAGGCTTTCTCTAATCTGTAAATTGTTTGTCATGTAAAAGGAAGATAGAAATGGCGTAGCAAATTCTTTTCTGTCAAATATGCTTTGTAATTCTTTTTGAAAGCCAACAGAGTCTGGACCTGAGGCTTCACTAATAAATGGTTTTCTACTCAGCATAGCTCAGTACTCCTGCCGTCCCAAAATTCTTGTCTTAGATTTGTCTAGATACGAATGTATGTAGTACTAAAACATGACTTGATACATCCGTATTTAGACAAATCTAAGACAAGAATTTTGGGACAGAGGGAGTATTATACTGTGAAACAAGTATCTTTGCTTAAGGAACAGTTTGTGATTAGTGAACTATTTCAGGAAAAGATAATATTGACCACGAAAAGGGAAAAAGCAATGCTATTAAAGATGCTGGAACCTGCTTCGATCTTCATTTTATTCTTTCTTGGACTGTCCATAGAAACTCACACATTGAAGTTTAATTTTCAAAAACGGAATTCAGATTCCTGGAGAATGGCACTTACAAAACTGTATTCAGAGGCCTGCACTAATGTCTTTGTCATATAAAAGTTCAAGGTCACTGAACAAATGATACAGGTTACAACACTTTCACTGTCAAACTAGAGCAACATGCTCGTAGATGTTTAGAAAGAACTGTAATTTCTCCATCGACCGTATCCACATACTTATGGATCATCTGCAATAATGTCTGTCAACTCAAGAGACCACCACCAGAATTGCCCGAGGCACCACCGCCATACTATGTATAATAGGAAAGAAGCCCCTTCAGATCCTCCTCTGCTGCAGTTGAATGGATCTGAACAATAAGACGAGCCGGTCTTTTGTTAAAATGCTCCCCGCGCTTACGGTAATCATCAGAGATTTTGAGTGGCAGCAAGAACTAACCTGAAGTTGAGAACTAGAAGTTCATTTGTTCATTGTGGTCGACAAATAGAAGTTCCAGAAGATGGAACAAGAGGACATGAAGGCAACACGAGCAGGCAAAGGAATCATCCTGGTATGCACAATGAAAATTAGCATAATAAACGGCTGTTTAGATAAAGTGAACTACTGACTAAACTAGAAAATTTAATACTACACTAGAGTGGGATTAGAAAAATGCTTAGCTAAATATTGAAAGTAGAGCTAGAAGTTAAGAGACTGTACCCAAAGTTAACAATCGATACTGGAATCCAAAATTTGAACCCTGCAACACCAGAATAAAGTGAGACATAACATAACATGAGTTGTTTTCGTTCAAGCACAACGTTAAGAACACGCTCAGGCAGAAACAGTACCATCGAGAAGAGTGGGAAGGGCGTCGTTCTGATACTTAGATGGCAATTCTGACAATTTTCCTAACCACAAGTTATTCCAGGCAAAAATTACAGAGATAACACATGGACCAAGAACAATCTGGTTCAGTAGGACCTGGAACGACAACAGACACAAAAATATAGAATGTATTAAGATCGAAATCCCCGAATCATCCGGTTACATGGGAGGGTGCATACCATACCTTAGCGGACAGAGTCGCGAGTGTTTGCTTGGGCATGCTTTTGTCAAGAAACTGATACCATGCATATGAGCCAGGACCATAGAGAAGAAACCCGTAAGATGCTATACGGAGCCCACGAAGCCAATCATGGTTGAGCAATAGATCCGGTACAAGAGCCTGAAAGGAGGACACCCGCGCGTGTGAGAATTCAGTGCAATCGTAAAGTGTTAGGTTTACACTCGTCAAAGTATCCAAGATGGCACTGCATTGTGAGATTAGCTAACTGTGGCATGGTGATGCACGGTTTTTTCTTACTATAGCACACTACTGAATTGGATTTTGCAGTTTGATCTACACTGAAGACTGAAGTTGAAGGTGTTTCGGCTGCAGGAATGTTTGCCCAACTTAATCATAACCCAGTTTTATCCTATTATTAGAACTTCCATTTTCATACGCTTTCAAAAGGGGGATCAGATGCAGGAAAAAGGACCTTGCTGTCGGGTTCGGGGCCGCGTTTCCGGCGGTCGACGATGCGGCGGTGGACCTGCGCCATTGTGTCGCCGGTGAGGGTGAGGCAGGCGGCGGTCACGGCCTGCTGGAACGGGAAGTCGAGGGGCCAGCCCCGGCTTTGGCCGACGGAGTCCGACGACGACGACGAGAGCGGCTCCCGCGGGGGGCCGCGGCGGCGGCCGCGAGCGTCCTGGTTGCGGCGGCCGCGGCGGCGCGAATCGTTCTTGCGGCGGAGAGACGGGAGGTTCCACCACCACTCGCCGCCGCTTCCGATGGCTTTCATCTTTCCGCGGCGGCGGCGGCGGCGGCAGGTGTGCGGGGTGTTCTGAGGCGTGCGGCAGTGTGGGACAGCTTTGGTGAGATACGGAGCATGAGGAGGGTATTCACCCCACCAATAAGGTTTTGTGGCTCCGAGTCCTCTGGCCTGGTGTCGCTGCAAATGGGACCGGGGCAGCGTAAACAAAGAGAGATGTTTCTGAGGGCAAAGGAAGATGAGCTGTCTCAAACTGTTTTATCTGTCCAAGCTCAACGCACTGGGAGCGCAATACCTGCTGGTGTCGAGCATCACCTGTTCTGCTCGACTAGACATGTGGAAGCTCGACCAACTTTTTTTTTTTACAGCCGGGCTCGTCCGGTGATTGACCGTCAAAAAACCCAATCTAGACAACTTCACATACCGGCCTCATACGCCTGGATTGACTCGCGCCTTTCATATCCAGCCTAAATTAAGGATGAATATAGGAAGACCTGGGCGCGTCCGTCACGTCGGACCCGGCCTACGCTAGCCTATCTCGACCCCACATATATTCCTTCACATCCGTATCTTGGACCAAACCCTAGCCACTTTACTCACCCCACTCCGCCTCAAGCTCTATTCCGACGATCTCCGGCATGGCAGGCAGCGGATCCGATTCTGATCAGTCCTGATCCGTCGACTCGGGCGTATGCGCCCAACCGGGTTCGGATTCGGTCTCACGGGAATTTATTGCCTCGGTACAATTGGCGCTTGGATCCGCCGGAGCTGGAAGCTCGAGGTCCGTCTGCCGACCATCTCCGGTGTGAAGGACTATTAGTGCTACAAGGATGTGTGTGATCGTGGTAAGAAGTAGAGGGCGCAGGAGGTCGAGGCGCGCCTCGCTGCCGACATGGCGGAGGCGAAGGCAGTGGATGCGGCGGCGCACATTGCCGTGGAGGAGGAAGTTGTACGTGCCCGCATCATACAGTAGCAGCAGAGGAGGAACACACGTGCCCTCGCCCGGAAGCAAAATGAAGGGGTTCGTGCCATGGCCGGACTGCTCCTCAAAGAGGAGGAGGACAATGACGAGCCGAACAGCTCCGGTGGTGAGCAGATTTGGCTTGATCCATTTTGCGTCTTCGAGCGCTACTTCCACGACAAAGACGACAAAGGCGCATGCAAGGGCAAGGGCAGTTGTGGAGGATCTTTGTCCATAGCTGGTACTTCCTCGGTTCCTCCATCCAGAATTACTTGT